TGTATATATATATATATCATTACGTAGTATATATACTCGAGGCAATTATATTATATATAGCCTTACAGGTCATTACCTCACATAGTTTAACTCTATATTTATAGGTGAGTAAAGTTATTTATCTTTCGTCAGGAGTGTCATTACAGCTACGGTGTTATGTATTATATATAACATATATTATAATATTATTATCTATATTATATATTGCTCGTCGGCGAGATATCGTAAAAAAATGACGTAAACGTGTCGTACAGAATGTCTTGATCTTAATCACGATAGAGAGAAGGATGCCAGCGGTTGCCATTCCCCAGAGTCCTACTGAGGCTAGTCACATGAGCGATGAAGACCGACACTGCTGTTTATGAATAACAGCAAAAAATTTAGCAGGAATTATCCGCTCGATTAATTTATAATTTTAAGCCTTAAAGCCGGCGCACCCCTATCGCGAGTATAACTCCGTCTCTTCTCTGTCGTCCTCAAATCCTCCTCTCTCCGATTTCTCTGCGTCTCCGGACGGCTGGGCTTTCAGCCGTGACGCTCAGGTCTCACTTCCGCGTAGTACATAATGGGCTGGTGCTTTGTGGGTGAATGTGATGGCTGCTGCGGCTGGCTGGGTTGTTCGCTGCGGTGTTTTGGCTGCTGCTGCTTGGTGTTGCTGCCTGCCTGGCTGTCGTTTGCCTGCTACTGCTCGGGTCTGCTGCTGCTTCGCCCACTTGGCGCTGTTTCGCTGCCTGGCCCTGCTGTGGTGGCGCTGTTGGCTCGCTGGTTGTTTGCGCTGCTTGCTCCCGGCACGCTGCTGGGTGTTGCTGCTGCGCTTGGGTGTTTGCCTTGCTGCTGGCGCTGCTCGCTATTGTGATCAGGTGATGCTGGCTGCTGCTTTGCTGGACTGATGGTGAGCCGGGGCTGCTTGTTGTGCTTTAAGTGATGCTGCTGGCTAGCTTGCGGGTGGGAATTGTTGCTTTGCCTGGCTGTGCTGATGGCTGCTGTTGCTGGCTGGTGTGATGTGCCGCCGCGGATAGTGTATAGTTGTGGGTTCGCTTGTGGTGGTGATGTTGCTTGCGCTGATGGGTGGTGATTGCTGCTGGGGTGGTGGGCGATGCCTGCTTGCTTCTCGCTGCTGCTGCGCTGGGATGACGATGTGACGAACCTGAGCACGGCGGGGGAGAGAGAAGCCGAGAAGAGAAGTAAATTTAATGGCGGAAGAAAGTATGGAGAGACAGGCTACGAACGGGCGAGAGGCGACGTGGAGGAGGAGATACAAGCGGTGAGGAAGAGGCAGAGAGCGAAGAGCGATTGCCCCCCCCCCCCCGCGCCCCGGGGGATATATAGAATATAATACGAAGGAGGGTGGTCGCGCAGAGAGAACCGAGAGAGAAAGAGAGAGAGCGCGCCGCGAAGGAAAGAGAAGCGAGAGCGAGAGGAGTGGGAAGAACGGGAAGAGAGACGGAGAGAGACGAAAAGAGAGAGCTCCGAGAGAGAGAGAGAGTTGGGAGACGAGAAGAGAGAGAGAGCGAAGAGAGAGCGCGGCGCAGCGAGAGAGAAGAGAGAGAGGAATGACGAGAGAGAGAGAAGAGATGCGGAGAGAGTGGAAACGAGAGCGAGAAATGAGAGAGAGAAAGAGAGAGTGAGAACGAGAGAAGAAGAGGAAAGAGAGAGAGATGCCGGGGAAAATGTGAGATTCATGCGCCGGTGCCGCGAGAGAGAAGAGAGGAGAGAAGAGAGACCGAGAGGAGAGAGAGGGGAGAGAGAGAGAGAGATGAAGAGAGAGAGGAGAGAGAGAGGAGAGAGAGAGCGAGAAGAGAGAGAAGAAGAAGAGAGAGAGAGAAGAGGCAACAAGAAAGGAGGGGTGAAAGGAGGACCAAGGAGACCGCGCCCCGCAGAAGGGGCATCCGATGTGTTTAAGGCATGCGTTTCAGGTTGTAAGGTCGAACTCACCATAAGATAATAAGGTATGGAGGCACGTCCCCCCGTGAAACGCTCACGCACCCGGCCCCCCCCCCTCCGTGGCCTTGCGGCCGGTGATCGTCCGTTCACGCGCTGCGTGTATCATCGACGGTGATCACGGCGGGGCCACAGCACGTTCACACAGCTACACGCGTGTATAACACGCTGCTCCACGCAGCCTACAACGCGTCCCCACAGGCTACAATAACGCGGTATCCAACACAACACGCTCACCGGCGCCAGGATCTAACACACAACGCTCCACAAGCTAACACGCTCCAACCGGCAAGCTATTACGCGTGTTATACACGCTCACGGACGCAAGGCTACAACGCCGTTGGTATACACGCTCACAACAAGCTACAACGCTCACGCAGGCTATAAAAACGCGTGTATAACACGGAACTCACGACCAACATCAGCTACACGCTCCCGACAGCTAACCGGGGCTCACACAGCTTACACCGATCAAGCAACAGACTTACACGCTTCACGGGTTGCAGTACACGCTCCCACAGCTACAATGCGTGTATAACACGCTTCACGCTCAACGCAAGCGCTACCCAAACCACGAAGTCGCGTCCCGCAGCTAGAACACGCTCCCACCAGCTACAATGCGTGTATACCACGCTCAATCGGCAGCTACACGCTTCCCACACGGCTAAACACGCTCCCACAGCTACACGGCTTCCCGACAGCTACAAACAAACAACATCCGCTCCACACAGCCTACAATCACACGGATCCCACAGCTACCAACAAACGCGTGGTAAATACCACGCTCACACGCTACACAAAACACAACACGGCCAGCTACAAGCGTGTATACACGCTCACACGGCTTTACACAGAGACGACAAACAACACGCAGCTACACGCGGTGTATACACGCTCAGCCACGCTTAACGCTCACGCAGGCTACACAAACGCGTGTATAACACGCTCACTCGGCCACCGCTTTACACGGCTTTACGACAGCTAGACAACGCCTCCCACAGGCTACATTGCCGTGTATTACACGCTCTCACCTCTCACATATAGACGCTTACACGCTCCACGCAGTGCTACACGGCTCCACAAGCTACAGGGGGTCATGCGTCGGACATGGGCGCCGAAATATCCGCGCTAATCGCATAGTAGGGCCTAATTACGGAATTCATACACAGACGAATGGTGTGCGTTAGTGCGGTAATTAAGGATTTCGTCGTCGTGGCGGCGCTGGATGGGCTTACCGCGGACTATGCGGCGCTCTGCCGCCCGCCCCGACAGTCGTGATCCGCCGCCGGCCGTAAGCCGCCATCAGACTCACGATACGTGACGCGCCTACTAATCACGTCGCGACGCAGCGTTCGTGCGTCAGCGTCGCGGCTGGCGCAGCGTCGGAGGGTCGGGTTTGTGCGTCAGTGTGTGCGCGGGTTTCGTTGCGTTACGACGCAGAGGGTATTTGCGTCAGCGTCACAATGCGCGAGATGTTGCGTCAGCGTCGCGGCTGGCGCGGGGTCTTTCGTTGCGTCGGAGGGTAGCGTTCGTGCGTCAGCGTCGCTGTGCGCACGGATTTCGTTGCGTCATGCGACGCGGAGATATTTGCTTCAGCGTCACGATATATTGCCTCAGCGTCAGCGGAATATTGCTTACGTCGCGACGCAAAGGCGGCACGCCGCAGCGTCACCGTATGCGTGCGGAATGTTAATTGCGTCACGATGTACCGACAGCGTCAGCGTCGCGGTGTGTACGCGGGAGTGTTGCGTCACGAAGAGACGTTAGCGTCATAGTACTAGCCCAGTTTTATCTGCGTCACAACACACCTATCCTGCAGTGTATAGCAGTAGAGCACTATCTATATTATACTACTATATAATATACAGTATTGTACACTACTGCAATTATCGCGCCAATAGCAAGCCGTTAAAACTACCTATGAAAGTTCAAAGTAAGTCAAAGTATGTATATGTTTACCTTGCCGGAAGTTTTAATGCCTTTCCAGAGCGCGAAGTATACGAGAACGAACACGGCCATAAGACACAAGGCAATGTCCCATTTGATCGGACCTAGGTCTTCCAATCCTTCGGAGTGATGTATTTTAAGCACCCCACGACTGCGCAAAAAGACACATACACATACGTTATTATATTAACTAACTGCTATAGTTAAATGAATGAATAAATTATTAAACAAGGAAAAAAATTAATGGATAAATAAATAAATACAAATATAAATGAATAAGTAAATAAATCATAAAAATCTGAATATTTCATTAAATGTTTTACTCTGATTCATGCATTGTCATCGCAATTTTCTCATCCCTCCTCCCTCTGCTCCTCCATCTTCCCTCCTCCCTCCTCCTTCATTTATTATTGAAAAAGACAGTCTTCAGTGCCCAGTATTTGCATTTGAATTACATGCAATAAGATTCATAATAATAAATAATAATATAATATAACAATAATAATAACTTACCTGAAAACGATCCGGGAGGGAGGAGGGAATATCGGAGGAGGCAGAGAGAGGAGGGATGAGAAAATTGCGATGACAATGGCATGAATCAGAGTCAAACATTTAATAAAATATTTACAATTTTTATAATTTATTTACTTATTCATTTATGATTTGTATTTATTTATTTATCCCATTTATTTTTTTCCTTGTTTAATACATTTACTCATTCATTTTAACTATAGCAGTTAGTTTAATATATATAACGTATGTGTATGTGTCTTTTTGCGCATCGTGGGGTCTTAAAATACATCACTCGAAGATTGCGGAAGACTTAGGTCCGATCAAATGGACATTGCCGTTGTGTCTTATGGACGTGCTTCGTTCTCGTATACTTCGGCGCTCTGGAAAGGCATTAAAACTTCGCGGCAAGGTAAACATATACATACTTTTGACTTTACTTTGAACTTTCATCCGGTAGTTTTTAACGGCTTGCTATTGGCGCGATAATTGCAGGTAGTGTACAACTACTGTATTATTATATTAGTAAGTATAATATAGATAGTGCCTCCTACTG